CGCTCCATAACCTCAGCAGGACGTCTCTCTCTCCCATGACAGCACCCTGGCAGATAGGCCAGCACAAGACATCTGTTCTCCTGCAACAGGGACCTCATCAGAGCCACTCCTTCAGGGGAAAAAAAGAGGTTGCTGGAAGTGAGGTTTACAGAGAGCACACCAAAGGTCTTTTTAAGCTTCACTGTTAACACTGTGATTATTTTCTCAAGTCCTCGAACCTCACGATGAACTTCATCTGTAGTGTGAACCCAATCACTCAGCATTCGCAGTTCTCAGAAAACAATAAATAAACACATGTGAAACCCTCTGTCTAATATATCAGACGCCATCAAGATTTCCCCACTAACTTACATAGACGGCATTTGCAGGCCTTGCTTATCCACATGCGTATATATTTCATAAAGGTCCAATATCTTTACTGCAATGAATAAAAGGAATAATGAACTTTTAACTTTCCACCATTCTTAACATAGTATATGTAAAATCTCACATACTTAGGTATTTCTCTGATTAAATAACTTAAGCCCCACACTAAATCTGAATGAAAGTAATTTCCTCCAAAATAAAACAATTCTGATCCTTAGTTTTCTGTTTTTCTCTTGATTTGCTTCATAAAACAACACTGGAAATCGCCTGAACAAGTCAGGGTGCCTGTTTGGCATAAACGTTAGTCTCTCCTCTGTTCTAACAGAAGGATAAACACAAAGGCTCATCTAAGCTTGCACAGTAGAAACGGTCCCTATGACCACGAAAGAAACCACTCCCAAAGCAGAGCTTCCCCAGCAGCCCCACTAGAAACTTTCCCTTCAAATGATCACCTGGTCCCATAAAAAGCTTGGGTGGAGAGGCGCAGGGGAGGAGAAGGGGACAGAGAGGGAAGGGGAGGAGGGTAGCAGGGTGCAATCTGCCAACACTGCTGCCAGCCCCTTCCTTACTCCTGCCATAGCACTGTGCATAGCTGCTGGCTGCCGGAACATCTGTGCTAATCAGTGTTAGGGCCCCAGGTCCACCTGCCCTAGGACAGCTCCAGGAAGCCAGGAGCAGAGGGGAGCCCTGCCCCGGACAGATTTTTGAAGCCCACGTCAACACAGCTGCGAGACATCCCAGAACGGATGCCGTGGCAAAGAAACTTGCTCCTGGCCAGTACAAGCCTGGTCACTGTGTTTGCAGCCTGCTTTGTTCAGATACCTCACCCCTGGGCAGGAAAGCTACCCCTACAGTCATCCGAGTAAAACCTCCCCTTGGCATTAATCTGCTCCTGAACACAAGCTTAGAGGATGTCATTAGATTCACAAAAGGGTTTAAGTCTGCCGCAAAGAAGCAGGAAACCACATGTGTGAACCTTGTGGATGATCCGGTGCCCCGACAGAAGTGCCTGCAGCCCAGAACAGGGTCACAAAGAAAACTTTTCAGCGTGCTTATTAAGGCTGAGATGGTAGGTGCACTCCATCATTGAGAAAACCAGTATTAGAATAAAAACTTGAGGAAAAAAGACTCAATAGGGTGATGGCAGGCTTTACAAAATAATTTATGGTGTCATACTTAAAAGAAGTGTTTGCCAAGACATGTGAAAGTCTAGGTACTTTTAGGAGCTCAGCTTACAGTACTTTGCCTATGAATTAAGAAAACCGGAAAACAGTGTGCCCACTATCAGAGACAGCCATGAGCTCCAACAAGCAGCCAACACAGTGCTCCTCTTCCTCCGCAGTCCCTGCAATAGCACAGGCTTTCAACTACCAGGCCAGGAAGTTACTGTGTCACCCAGTTCTGGCCTCAGTTTTTGCTTAAGCCAGTGAGAGCTCGATCATCACAGCCACTCAGCAAAGTAACCTGTGGTTCCCTGAAAAATTCCAGAACCCAGACCACTCTAGACCTGGCCACACCATCTGCAGGGGCCTGGACACAAAGGGCAAAAGTGCACAAGACAAGTGCAGAGAGAGAGAGGAACACATGGTAAAAAGGCCACCCTCCAACCTGGACCTCCTTGGGAAGGTACACTTCTTCTGGCCAAGCAAAGATGTAACCAGAGAATAGCTGAGCTCAGAAATACACGGACTCTTTCCCTTGGCTTGGCAGTGGGGGCGCCAAGTCCAGGGTTGAGCTACCAAATGAATTGTTTGGTTATGCTTTCAAGTAAGGCAGTAACTGATACTGATGTGCATGTCTGCAGCTCAGGCCATGAGCTATCCACAGAAGGCATTTTGATAAACCAGACATTCTTTTTCTTTAGTGCCAAGGATAAAAGCAGAGCCTCGTGCCTGTTAGCCACACGCTGTACCACCAGGCTGCAGTTGTAGCGTCTCCCACTGTGGCTTGCATAAGCGCACGTTCCACCCAGCAGCTCTGAGCAGCAACGTTAGTAAATGCCAGCTAATCCAGCAGGACAGAAGGCAGATTAGCAGGCTCTGGGGATGGCAAAGGAAGCTGGTCAGAAGATCAGAATTTAGACAAAAAAGGATACTTGTCTGGCTTGAAAAATAATTTTTAAACCACTTACTAGTGCTTTTATAATTAGGACAGTTTGGTGTTGCACACATACTATGTACATCTTTTATCAATTACAGCACTTACTCAGCGGGACAGCAATTAATCCTAGTATTAATGTATTAATTTGGAAAATTTCCTTTGCCTCACTGAACAAAGTACTATGTCAAGACTAATTTCTAGTCTAATCGGCAAAAATAATACCTACATCGACTATTGAAAATTAACAAAATAATTTTGAAAACTTCAGTATGTTATTGAGTGTGTTTGACAGTTTTTGAATTCACGGTTTGAGTTTTGGATGTTGCTATATACTACTCAAACTACTAAATTCTATGCAAACCACACATCATTCAGTACATCCATTTTTTTTCCTTTTTGAGACAAGGTCTTGCCATGCAGTTCAGGCTGGCCTTGAACTTACTTTGTAGCCCAGGCTGGCCTCAAACTCACAGCAATCCCCCTGCCTCAGACTCCCAAGTGCAGGGATTACAGGCATGCGCCACCACACCTGGCTTAGGACAACCATTTAAAGGAAACTAGTGGTTTTAAAATACAAAAAAGAGGTCAACCCTTCTGTACAAAGGTTGAATCCCTCTTCCCTGGAGATTTTCAAGACCTAAACCATCAGGTGTCCTGTGGCTTCCCCTCTTTCCTTCTCAAATGGTCTGCATGTTGTACCCTGAACAGGTTTCAGGTTTTCTGTGTCTATCATTAAATATGCACTCCTAGGTTTCGGGGGAGGGAGGGTGCCAGGAATTGAACTCAGAACCTTGCACTTGGCAGGTAGATGCTTGCACTGTGAGCTATATCCCTGGCCACACTTCTGGTTTAAAAAAAAAAAAAAAATCTGCAATCACTTGCCTAGTATGAATTCACTCTCCAGTACAAAAAAATAAAAAAGAATTACATATTACATAAATCACACTTCTAACCACATGAGGCCCAGCTTTACTTGCCAGTGCAGAAATGAAATCATAAATGATAAAACCATTTCTCAGTTCTCACATTCACAGAGAGAAAAACAAAATGACAGGAGAGGTGACATGGACACCAAGTGGCCAGCAAAACGTGGCAACATCAATCACCGTTCACGGAGCACACACCTTCCGCTGCCCTTAGGGACTCGGCCAGGGAGAAGCCCTGGGTCGCAGGCTGCTTGCTGCACCAACTGAATGGGTATCACCAAGAGCTCGGCCGGAAGCCAGGCAGCATGGCTTTCCTCATCATCGCATGGTCAAGTCTAACATGAGCCTCCTGACTCTGTAAAGTGACAGGACTTCCCCCAGCCCATCTTAGGCTCAGACATGGCCACCACTCTGACACTTCAGTTCTTGAGTTACAAGGTCTTAAAACAGTGGTCATGCATAGCATGTTCTAGAGTTTTGTGGCCCACTCCTTTAATCCCAGCACTTGGGAAGGCTGAGCAAGGAGGACTGAGACTTTGAGGCCAGCCTGGACTACACAGCAAGATCTTGTGTCATAAAAAAAAAAAATACTGTGCTTAGAAATGAGGTTGCTAAGTTAATGTGGCAAAGAACATTCTTCATTCATTTCTGAACTTCCTCCCCTAGTTCTTGGCCCAGCAATAGGAATACCTGATAGTTGGTGTATAAATGGACCCGGTGAACACCCTCCCTCTCCCTCTCTAGTGTAAAACATCAGACACAGCAGTCTGCCACTCCTATGAACAATGGGCAATGACAGGTCACTTTACTATAAGCACCATCTTATCTACATAGCACACTGCCGAGGATACAAGTATTAAACTCACTCAGCAAATGAAAATCTTACAACAACAACACTAATAGAATAAGGAACCCTTTTCTTTTTGGATGTTTGTTTGTATGTAGTTCAGGCTGACCTTAAACTCACTATGTAGCCCAAGCTGGCCTAGAACTCACAGTGATCCTCCTGCCTCAGCCTCCTGAGTACTGAAACAATAGAAATACAACACCATGCCCAGCTGGGATCTTTTCCATTTTTAATGCTGAAGTCATCCCGAGGTATAATATAGTCAGCCTCCTAAGCCTGTGAGTTCTATATCCAAAACCACTGAAAATACTTGGGGGGAAAATGCATTGGTACATGTATTGACTTTTTTCTTATAATCATTTCCTGAGCAATATAGTATAACTACTAATAAGGTGTGCTAGGTAATATCGGTCATCCAGACATGATTTGCAGCATATGCAAAGATGTGCGTAGGTTACATGCAAATAAAGTACCATTTTACAAACAGGGCTTAAGCACTCTCAGATTTGGATAACTGTAGGGCCCTGGAACCAATCCTCGAAGATATAGAGGTGGATGTAAATCTAAATGCATATATACACACACAAATGTGTATGCACATGCACACGCACATATACACACACACACACACACACACACTTCAACCCTAGTCAAGATCTTGGCAGTGATACGGACAAAGCAATCCCCCGGCAAGCTTCCCATTTGGATGTTCTACTCACTGCTGCCTGTCTTGGTCAACATGTGGGAGACACAGAGCTTACCTTTTAACCACCAGCTTCAAGGTCTTATGGGACCCTTTCACCAGGCAAATTGCTTCCTGTCTAAACCCCGAGAGGCCGATGTCATTGATGCCCACAATCTCGTCTCCAGCCAGTAACTTGTCCACAGCCGCGGCTTTACTTCCTTCCTCAATCTGTAATACAGAAGCAAGTTTTGTGAGCCTCCACGAGGAGCCAATGATTCCTGAGTCCACACCAAGTCCTGTGGTCAGCTGGGAACATAACAGGCCAGAGCTCACACGGTTCCCAGACTCGGATCCCAGAGCTGGCTGTGGGATTAGTCAGCAGCCACAGGATCTGAGTGGGTCTAGGAAGCTTGAAATGCACAGGGGCCCAGGGCTGATGGCATTACAGGGGAGACTGTAGACACACCTCTCCCTCTATCGCCCTCCTGTCCCCTTCCCAAGAACAGGGATACCTCGTGAGGCACTCCGAAAACTGCAAATCGAACCAAAAATAAGGGATCCAAAGACACCGATTCAACTTCTGCATTTTTGCACCATTTTTTATTAAGCACTCATTGTTTCTCATACATCAATCCTGCACCTGCCTTGACTGCTACATTGTTTTTTTAAGTTGTATGGCAATGCAATGGAGATACCTCACATTCATTCATATAAAGTGCACACAAATGTGAGGCTTTTGGTATGCACAGAGTTGCACAATCATCACCATGATCCATTTCACAATTCCCTAAGCCCAAAAGAAACCTCATGCTCAAGTGAGTCACTTTCTAATCCTTCCAGCCCCTGGTAATCACTAACGTACCTTCTGTGTCTAGTCTCCAGAAATTTGCCTATGCTGGGATATAGAAGCATACATTTGGCCTTTTGCATCTGGCTTCTCTCAACTTAGTATAATTATGCCTTTGCATTTCATGTATGTTGTAGCCTGAGCTTGCAGTTCATTCTTTTTTATGGCTGAACAATATTTCACGGCACAAACTGACCACACTGTGAATCTGTGTCAGCTGCTGGGCACTTGTGTGTTGTACATCTGGTCATGATGAACAATGCAGCTACAAACACTGGTATACAAGTTTTCATGTGGACATGCTTTCATTCTTGTACAGTATATACCTAGAAGGCAAACTTCTGTGTCCTACGGCAACTGGAACGTGCTGAAGAACCATCAAAGCCATTGAACCATTTTACATTCCCACCAGAGAAGTTTCCAATTCCCCCACATCCTTGCTAACACTATTATCGTAGTCTTAATCATATTCCTGTGCTACAACCGTGGTGCATATTAAGCTACTTCACTATGGCTCGAGGCTGAACACTATTTGTTCTGCATGCCTTAAATGATCCCTTGAAACTCTCACCGTGGGGCTGTGGGCATGGCTCGGTGATACAGCTCTTGACTAGCGTGTAGAGGGTCCAGTTTCCATCCCTAAGACAGCAACGGAAACAAAGACCCACAACAAAAAGGCCTGAATGCCATCTGTTTTGTAACTTTTATTCTGGGAAAATCTGATCTATCGAATCTTCGCCAGTTTTCCCTACACAGTAACAATACCATTTGAAAAGGCAATTAACCCCAGCTAATACATCTATTTTCTACACAGGCATTGGCAAACTATGGCAGTAAGCCAAATCCAGCCAGTAGCCACAGCTGCTATTGTTTTCCTGGACCGTACTGACACCATTCAGTTACCTGCTGCTACAAGGCAGCAAGGAGTCCTTGAATCACAAAGCCAAAAATATTTACTACTTGGCTTATTCCAAAAAACATCAGCCAATTCCTGTTTAGCCCCCAGAAAGGCTTTACAAACCGTAAAGAAACCCTGGTGAGAGGTGACTGGAGGCTTATTGTGAGCCATCTGTGTAGAGTCTCAAAGCTGTCCAATGCTTAGCTCTGTGCCAGGTTAACCTGAGGGTCACTTCTCCAAAGCCAGCCCAAAGACCCCCAAAACTGCTATGGGAATCCTGTCCGGAAGCGCTGACTTCTCTAAAACCTCCATCCAGAACCCAAAACAACTGAAGAATCAACACCATACATGAGTTCAAAGACTACTCCCAACAAAAATATGAAATGATTCCTTTGGTCAACAATGGGTTTTGAAAGTCGTGATAGATTGGGTATGGTGGTATATGACTCTAATCCCAGCACTCTGGGAAGCTGAGACAGGGGATCCACAAGTCTAGCTAGGCAACTCAATTACTTAGCAAGACCCAGTGTCAAAATATGAAAAAAAAAAAAAAAAAGAAAAGAAAAGAAAAAGGAAAGGAAAAAAGAGCAAAGGCTGCAACTTAGTGAGAAGGTCCTAGGTTCAACCCCCAGTAGAAGATAAAAGAAAAGGGTGGAGGAGGAGAGGAAAGGGGGAAGGGGAGGGGGAGAGACCCAGAGGCTTCCAGTAGATGGACCAAGGCAAATGGCTGTGTTGGATATAGCAGGGCAAGGTGACCTACAGACGTAGTGGCCAGCACCAGAAAGTATTCACAGCCTGGTGGTGAGATTAAAGGCCACAAAGGGAGGCCACCTGTGCAGAAATAAAACCAGGGCTCGGAGGACAGACAAGCATCCAGAATAGATCTGAGTCTGCAACACCGGTGAACAGGGGCCATCTCAGGAGATAAGAATGAGTTCCAAAAACTACCGCAACCCACAGTGTAGGAAGGGGTACGGAGCTGGCTCCAGCAGGAGCCTCTAGTACTCCAGCTGGCCTCACTCAGGTTACCAGGAAAGCCAGCAATGGCATCCAGTGCCCAGTCCAGCTATCTGGTAGACATTCAAGACCATGGCAGATGAGCAAAACAGCAGAAGCAGATTTTACTCTTGCCTTTAAACAATCATTCATCCTAGTGGAAACCACCCAAATGTCATTCAAGAGATAAATGGGTGAACTGTGGCATATACACAATGGAATACTACTCAGCCTTTAAAAATAGGAGGCCATCCAGGGGTGTCGCTCAATAGCAGAGCTCCTGCCTGGCATGCATGAGGTCTGGGTTCAGTGCTCAGCACCCTCTGACAGGATATTGTCACATGCCATGACACTGTGAACTTTGACACATCATGCTAAGTGAAGTAAGCCGGACGTGCAAAGATAGTGAATCATCTGACTTGTAGAAAGTACTGAGTGGTGAAAACCATAGACAGAGCACAGAATGGGCAATTAATATTTAGTGGGTACAGTTTCGATAGTGATGTTTGTACAACATGTAAATGTATTTAATGTCACCAACTTGTACACTGAAAAATGGTCAAGGCAGAAAGCATCTTTGTTTCTCTGGTCAATTTTAAATTGAGTGTATTTTCCCATACTAAAATGTTATACACTCCTCAGCTGGGCGTAGTGGCACATGCCCATAACTCCTGCACACACAGGAGGCTGAGGCAAAAGGATTGCCCCATGTTTGAGGCCAGTGTAGGCTACATAGTGAGTTCAGTGGCAGCCTGAACTACACAGCAAGACCCTGTCTCAATCAATCAATCAATAAAATGTTATCTGTCCTTCAGTATCTAAAACCACATGCTCTTTTCTCTAATACCTTTGAATTCAAGTATTTCAAAGAAACTCTTCAGACAAAGCCTTGATGACTAATGACCCGGTCGGAAGTATCCTGGAACAGTTTGTAAAGTAGCGCATTCTCAGGGTGACAAATTACCTGTGTGTGACTCAGCTACCACAGTGGGCTTTTTCGGACTCACTCTTGTGGATGCTCGTCTAGCAACCCTGTGAGACTCACCCCAAGCCACAGCCCTGGTAACCGCTTTACTGGGAAGAGGCCTGCAAAAGTGTTACCTCTGCACACTAGCAAAACACCCGAAGGACGACCACATTCCTCTCACAATACAGCTGCCTCACGCAACTATACCTCCTCCACTCCCCAGAAAACCTGCTCGGCTTTGTGAGATAAGGTAGTGTTTGTTTTCCACTGGTCTTCGTGCCAAGAGAAAATATCTCTGGGATATGTATGTGCTCATGGGGGAGGTAGTCAGAAAAGTACAGGCTCTAAAGAAGTACATTCTACACTTCTAATGCATTTAACTTCTCACACTGAGGAGAATGAAGAAGGTCTGAGCCTGACACTGTCACAGTTTTCCACAGGACTGAGGATAGCAGTGTCTCTCCAGTGTATCAGGAGGCCACAGAGGATGTGAATTTTACCCTGGCCCCACATTTGCAATGTAAATGTCTGCAGAAGGTTAGGGCAGGCACAGAGCAGATCTGCCCCACAGTATTCGGGAAAATCCACTGAGAAATGAAATGTCTCAGGATGTGTACAAGGGAACACCTTGCTATCCTTCTGGAAAGGTTTCTATCTAAACGTTGATGGGGGGGAAAAAACGCAAAACAGTTCAGGAAAGCCTGCAAATGCAGTCTCCAGCAGTGAGAACAGCGAGAGCTGTGCATGCTTCCCTGCCCGTGTCTCTGTGGTCCTCCTGATGGGAGACAAGAGAAACACCAACACAGGGCAGAGGGTCAGGGAAACCAAGGACTCCTGAAGTGGCAGAGCATGGCAGTGATCCCAGCTTGGAAAATCACAGGAACCAGAGGCCCTAATGGAAGGAGGAAGACCTGCTTTGTTCTGTCAGTCTGTTGCCCTATTTTAAATGGATGAATCACCTGGCACTTTATCAGTTCTGATCGCCTCAGTTTTCAGAGAGTAACCTTCCTGCAGGGCTGGCCAGTCGCTGAAGGCACCTCCAGATCTGCCCCATCAGATTGCATTCCTCATCCTAACTGGGCTCAGGTCCCAAGGGAAGGAAGCCTGATTCAGGTAGGGAAGGTGGCAGATGGCCAGGACCCAACTACCTCTCACCTCACGGCAGGTTTTGGCTTCAGTGAGACACACACGCACCCTGAAGAGAGGCAACTCGCCCTCCAAGCTGGCTGGAGTGAGAAGACAGCAACTCCTGGCCCTGAGGTGGGTCCCAGAGGACCCAGTGGAGGAAGGGGCAGCAGCTAGCAGGCACAGGAGCTTGTATCTGCAGGGCACCTAATGCCAGCCCAACACCCAAGGAGATACGTGCCATGTCCAGAGGGTAGCACAGAAAACCCAGGACAGTGGTACAGTGGTCAGCTAAGCCTGCCCCACACAAGGGGCAGCCAGGCCAAAAGGACGGCAGGAAAGGGAAACAACAGGAAAGGGATGCAAGCGGCAGAAGGGCTGAAGTAACTAAACAA